GTCTGGTGTGAAGATGGAATGTATCGGTCCACAGCTTGTGGTATCTTCCCCAAAAAGGCTCAACATTTTGAAAATATATGACAAGAAATTAACATCCAATTCCATTCAGACTTGGCACATCTCAATACATATTGACCAAAACGATCATAAAATCCGAAATAAGCATCTTGTCCTCTTCAAATTACGCACATAACAAAACATTTTTATTAACACAAGGTCTGGTGTGAAGATGGGATGTAGCGGTATACTCCTTCTGGTACCTCCCCCACAAAGGATCAACATTTTGAGTATCCATGAAACTCATGAAACGCGAAAATAACATCCGATTCCATTCAGACTTGACACGGGAAATATCGGTGCACTCTTTCTGGTACCTCCGCTCAAAAAAAAAGCGAAATAAGCATCGAACTCTCTCCAAATTCCACATAACCAAATATTTTTGCTTACGCAAGATCTGTTTTAAAGATGATATGTGTCACAATTTCCAATTCCTATATCTATTATTGCGAAACAAGTCGGCGATTCTTCACACCTTGGTATATCTGAATATTTATCTTAACAAGAATTCTGATATTAATATGCAATGTATCGAAATTTATGATTTCTCTTAAAATTAGATATAAATGTTCGATTTCCTTCAAATTTTGCACATACCAATATTTTTATCTGAATGGAAGTGGAATATTTCGGTCTATATCTGGTACCTCAAGCATATTTCCACATTTTCCAAAAATAAGTACATACCTCGTATGAAGTGTAGAAAGTAGTCGATATGGTCCAAATTTGACACGCTGTAATATTTATATCAGTCTTAGGTCAGATACGAATTGGTCAATAGTGGCCAACTGGTTCGGAACCTCCCACATATGGATGGGCGTATACATCTATCGGAAAAAACGACCATTTTACTTGTTTAAATATATTTTGACTTTTGTAATGATTATTTAAGTTGTTGACCCTCTATATAGTAGGTTCCGAAATAAATATGATATAAATATTGCGATGTGCCAGGTTTGGACTATATCGTCTATTTCATTCACTTTATATGAGATAAGTGATAATTTGTAGAAAATGTTAAAATGTGCATGACGTACCAGATATAGTGGACCGAAATATTCCATTGTCATACTTCATCTAATACAGCTAAAAATAGTGGTATGGGCAAAATTACAAGAAAATCAATTTTATGCGAAATCATAAATTCCATATGCATCTCAGGTTACTGGTTGAGAGAAATATTTAGATATAGCAAGTTGTTTAGAAACTCTGACTTGTTTTGAAAATTGTGACCCTTTTTGAGTGAAGATGGGGTTTGCTGATATATAACATCTTCATAACATGTTGTTCTTTAAGCGTTTTATTTTTCAAAATCTTGAACACTATGTGGTAGAGGTACCAGAAGGAATAGCTCAGCTTCTACTATTTTTATAACAGATCTTGCGTTGATGGAAATAATGGTATGTACCAAGTCTGATTTTAATCGGGTGTTAATTTCGGGTTTTATGAGTTTCATGGTTGAATATCCATGTTGACCCTTTGTGGGGAGGTACCAGAAGGAGGGGACCAATAGATTCCATCCTCACACCAACAAGTTCCTCCCACACAAAGGGTCAACATTTGGAATAATTATAACTCTAATAAAATGCGATGTAAGCATCCGATTCTCTTCGATTTTCGACTTCACAATATTTTTGTAAACCCAAGATCTTGTGATGTCGGTCCACGCCTTCTGATAATTCCTCCACAAACGGTCAATTTTTTAACAATTATATATATTCTTTTCAAATATCGCACACCGCAAAATCTTTATCAACAAATAATTTGGTGTTATGATAAAATATATCAGACCACTCCTTCTGGTACCTCCCCCACAATCGGTCAAAATTCTGGTGTGAAGATGTGGTGTGAAGATGATAGATATCGGCCCACCTATGGTGAGTATATTAAGTTCGTCATTCCGTTTGAACTCATCGAAATAATAATTTTAAACCTAACGAAGTATACATTCTTAATCAACGTCAAATTCTAAGACGATTTAGCCCTGACCGTCAGTCCGTCTGTTCGTCTATTGTATTCACGCGAGAATCAACACGATTTAAGATAAAATTTTTAAGATTTAAATTTAAAATTTTACACAGATCAGTCTTTTACGTGCAGGCAGATCAAGTTCGAAGATTTGCTATGTCGGTCAACTATATCGTATAGCCCACCACCCCCCCCCCCCAGATTCGGCATTTTGACGATTTTAGCCACACAAGTAGTTCCTTGTGGGTACTTTATCCCTCGGCAGAGAATTATCTATATAGGTCCACAATATCGCATAGCCCCCATATAACGGTACCCCCACGGTATTCGGTATTTTGATGATTTTAGCCACATTTTTCAATGGAATTGTCTGAAATTCCACAAAAGGAGTCCATTGTGGACATTTTACCCCATCAAAAAGAATTGTCTATATAGGTCCACGATATCGTATAGCCCCCCGATATTCGGTATTTTGACGATTTTAGCTACATTTTCAATGGAATTTCCTCAATATTCACACAAGAAGTTCCTTCTAAGTACTCTACCCCCTGGAAGAGAATTTTCTTTATAGGTCCACGATATCGTATATCCACATTGTAACGGTACCTCACTACATTCGGTACTTTGATGGTTGCAGCCAATTTTTTTAATGGATTTCTGTTAAAATCCACACCAGCACCTCCTTCTGAGTACTTCTGATTTCCTTTTGAGTACTTCACCCCTGGAAGAGAATCATCTACATAGGTCCACGATATCGCATAAACCCCATATAACTTTACTCCCCGATATTCGGTATTTTTATGATTTTAGCGATATTTTTGAGCGGATTAGTTTCTAATTTCGTATTTAAAGTTTGAAGTTCGTAATGAGTCCTACAAGCTATGACAGGAAATTGTCTATGTAGGTCCATGTCTTCGTATAGCCGCCATTTAACGGTTTTCATCCAAGCGGTATTTTTCGGTGGATTTTTTTTTTTTTTTATGAAAAATTTCAAAATAGTGGGGGGGGGGGGGGTAATAAAAGTTCGGCCCGGTCGAACTTAGCTGCTTTTTATACCCTCCACCTTTGAAAGGAGGGTATATTAACTTTGTCATTCCGTTTGTAACATCCTTAAATATTCGTCTTAGACCCCATAAAGTATATATATTCATAATCAGCATAAAATTCTAAGTCGATTTAACGATGTCCGTCTGTCTGCCTGTCTGTCTGTTGAAATCACGATACAGCCCACATTATTTGACGTAGAGCGTCAGCAGAGCTATTTACATTGTGTCTAGGATGGTTGGTATTGAAAATGAGATGTATCGGTCCACGTTCTGGTATAGTCCCCATATAAGGGTACCTCCCGATATTCGGTATTTTGATGATTTATGCCACATTTTTTTACGGATTTGTCTGGAAGTTGGTATTTGTAGGCTATAACGGGTCCCTGAGCGTGTGGCAAAACATTGCATGTATAGGTCCACGTTGTGGTATCGCCCCCATATAAAGGTACCTCCCGATATTCGGTATTTTAGTTTTTTTTTTGCCACATTTATTCACGGATTTGTCTAATTTGATTGGTATTTGTGGGTCATAATAGTTTCCAGCTCCGGTGGCGAAACATTGCATGTATGGCTCCATGATTTGGTATAGCCCCCATATAACGGTACCTCCCGATATTCGGTATTTTGATGGTTTTTGCCACATTTTTTTCACTGATTTGTCTAAAAATTGGTATTTGTGGGTCATAATGGGTCCTAGTTCGTGTGGCGAAACATTGTATGTATAGGTCCACGTTTTGGTGTAGCCCCCCCCAACGGTACCTCCCGATATTCGGCATTTTAATGGTTTTTGCCACATTTCTTCTAATGTTTCTTTTACCCTAAGGTGGAGGGTATTAAAAGTTTGGCCCGGCCGAACTTACTGTTTTTTACTTGTTTACTTGTCAATATTTATATCTCTTCTAATTGATTCTAAAGAATTCTAATTCTTAAAGATTCAGCTATTCTTTTAAAACTTGGTTGCCAGGGATCAGATATGAATATGGAATTCATCAGCACATAGAGTGTTGTTAAAAGTCGTACAAGTACATCGAAATCTCTTTGGCTTTGAGAACTCTTCAGGTATAAGCCATTTTTTGTAAAATAGTGGCAATGTTTGCATTAACTTCTACTGGATTTATCTGTAGGCCAAAATAGTGCTAGAAATGCGGGGATTTTCTTTAGTCTGCCACATATTTTCTCATGTTTTAACTGCATACTTAGGCGGCCTTAAAACTTCTTAAGTAAAAGTATAGACTAGCATATTCTCGTCTTTTAAATTTGTGCTTAACTCTTCACGTCTCTCAACGTTTATTAATTACATGTTTCCGACAAGTTTAGACGTTGTCAACATAATAGTAAAACTACATTTTAAATATTATATAATTTTCTTCGCACAGCTTCGCTTCTCGCCCGCAAGGAATCTCCCATTATGAAGATGGTTGGCAAAGGATAATCTCAGTAAATATTTAACTTAGGTTTTTGCTACTGTTTTCATTTTCCTCAAGTTTTATCTCTTATGACTCAATACATCTTTCATCACTTTAATATCTCACACACACATATACACATCCAAAGAGTCTTGTAATTTTGTTAAGAAGTATAGCCATAAATAGTGCGAGTAGCTGGGAGAAATTGAGCGAAGGAAGGAAGATAAGTTTAATAGCTAAATGTATTTTAAAACTACTCTCGATGCTCGGCTACTTAGCAAAAATGCAATTAGCCGTTGTTATTATGTTATGGATGTGTTGGTGAGTGAGCGAGTGTGTGTATGGGTGAGTGATAATATCAAAAGTTATAAAAGACAGAGATTAAATCGTTTAAAAGAAAAAGTTGCAAATTTCTTTCAGATTCCGGTTTGGTCAATTAAAACGGAAGGGAGAGGGGATATCCACAATTTGAAGTAGTTCGTGGGGAGAAGGGAAAAGGATTTATTGTTTGAAAAAAACTTACCTGAAATGAAGCAGTAAATGCAGATATTATTTCATATGTATGTTCCAAAGGATGTCCAGGATCCGGATGGAATGGTGTCACAATGTATTGTAGACCCAGCAATGGGACAAGCAATAAGGTGGCCCTGCATAAATGAAACAAGAAATACAAAAAATTATTTAAAACTTAGTTATTAGAAACCAGTAAGAAAAGTTCAAAAATCGGGCAGCTATGTGATACCCTAAATTTCGTATTGCGTTTACAGTAGATCTCCCGTAACAAAAATATGAATCTCATTTGAATGCGTCTCATGACTTTAGAGTAGTCACAATTTGGGAACTATATCCAAATCTGAATCGATTTTAAACAAATTCGACGGAGGCTTTTGTACCTCTAGTATCAAATAACATTAAAAAATATTTATTAAAGTTTCATCAAATGGAAAAATTCAGTTGGACAATAGCCGTAAAATTGGATGAAGACAAATATCGAAGGTATATAAAAATCAGAACCGATTTCGATAAAATTGGCAGAATTATTTGCGAGCTGTATCTGTTGTCCGACATTAAATACTCACTTCGTTTGGGCTGATATTAGTCATTTACTGCACAATTAACCCAAAATCGGACGAAGATTTCTACAGGGTGAGTTCAAAAATCTGCAATCAACTTCAGACTGCCGTCATTCCAAAATCACTGGTCCGACAAATGTTAAAACTATTCCAGTAAAATCTCATTATATTGTTTACAAGCGTACAAAAGCATTTTTTTGAGAATTTTTCAGAAAAAATGTTGTTCGTGATGGAATTCAAGCGTGATACTGTAATTTTTTGTATATTTGGCTGGAAAACCACAAGTGCCTATCGTCAGAGCACTCTAGCATTTAAATGTGAATAAATCGTTTGTGTCTCGTACATCATCGCTCGTTACCGCGATACTGGTAGCGTAGCCCGACGTCAAGGAAGTGGACGGAAAAAAACAACAACATCAGCAGAAATGGTTGGAAAAGTCAAAAAGTGATTTGATCGAAATTCGCGTCGCAGTGGCCGAAAAATGGCTCGTGAGCTAAATATATCACAATATTCCATTCGGAAAATATTGAAAATGAGCTCGGGGTTAACGCCATTGAAATTCCAAAAAGTGCAAGAACTTACACCGCAACAGAAAAAAAAAATAAAATCAAAAGAGGTAAAGAGTTGCTTTGCTTGGCCGAAAGTTGTGAACTGCCGAATTTGGTTTTCTCCGATGAGAAAACATTCTTTGCTCAGCAGTTCGCAAGCAAAAAAATAAATTATCGTGGTCGTCGGTAAGCCACCAGAACTCAAGCAGCAGTCATGGTGATGGTGTGGGCCGCCATAACAGCCGATGGTAGCTCTCCGCTCGTATTAACCGACCATGACATCAGAATAAGTGCCGAATATTACCGCGAAAATATTCTGGAGGGTGTTTAAAGCCTTGGGCACGCAAACATTTGGCCGCAGACCTTGGACATTCCAACAGGACTCAGCACCATCGCACTCTGCACGAGCCACCCATAATGGCCACCAAAATTTCCGAATACCAATCCGTTGGACTACTGTGTCTGGAGTATTTTTGAAAGCAAGGTTGGCATTAAAAAATACCAAAGTGTCGATTACATCAAGCAAGCGCTTCGCCAGGGAATGGACCATTTGAAGGTCATTGGCCATTTGAAGGCCATAATTCGTGCCAAAGGAGACCAATTCGAACAAATCTTAACTTGTTCTAAAATTTGATGCTATTTCTGACCCTCTTCTCTTGCATTCAATAAAATTAAAAAAAATAATAATAATAAAATGATGGCGTTTGACTTTGTTGCAGTTTTTAAATCTCACCCTGTATACAACTCAAAATTTGGCAGAGGTATTTCTGTATCTGGTACCAAATATCAATATTGTGAGGTGTACATTACGAATGTAAGGCACTTAAACACAACATCTGATGAAACATATGTATGGGAGCTATGGCTATATCTGAACCGATTTTTACCAAATTTGACGTACATGCTTCTGGGCTAAATTCGATCTGAAGTGCCAAAATTGTCCATTTGGGCTGTTATTAGCCATTTGGTGCACAATTAGCACGATATCGGTCGACGATATATATGGGAGCTATATCTAAATTTTAACCGATTCTCATCAATTTCAATGGGGTTCGTCCCAAACATTGTTTGAGAAATTTTAGACGGACTGACAGACATAAATCGAATTAGAAGAGATTTTATGAAGATCATCAAAAGTAACTATGGGTCTATCGCGCTTCCTTCTCCCTGTTACAAACAAGTGCACAAAGACACAATACCCTTACCACTATGTGGTGTAGGGTACAAAAAAATTCAGAAATGAAAATATTTCAAAATTATTACCGAAATGCCTGTATCACCGGCCGCGAGGGACCACAGCTGTTCTGCAGCGATGCAGGTGCCTTCAGTTTGAGTAGCACCACCCGGACAATGTTGCAGAGAAATAGTAAATTAAGGAATATTGAAATGCAGACAGGTACCACGAGAATGGCACGATAATTTTTGTCATCCATCCAACAACTGTAAAGAGAGGGAGAGAGAGGGAGAAAGAGAAGAAATTAATAAGAAATCTATGAAAAAGTTAAATGTCTCTCTGCAACTTACTGTGTATTTTCCTGAGCCGTACCAATTAGACCGCGCACCAGTCCATAGACGGTAATCACAATTGCCGGTGAGCCCCAGCCGAATGCTATCAACCACTTAACCAGCTTCTTTTCTGATATGAAGGCCGACACCAGCACCGTATGGAGATAGAAGCCTTCGCACAACATCCATGAGTAGTTGGTTAGGAGGAAGTAATGCAGGATTATGTGGAGACCCACACAGGGGGGCTGAAGGGGAGAAAATGAAAAAAACGAAATAACAAATTATGGAAATAACAAAAAAAGGAATAAATTCGGTTTACATGTGTATGTTGGCATATACACATGTAACCATTTATTCGTATGAATGTATACATAACTTCATAATATTTTTCACAAATAAGCCTCAAAATGTAAACAAAACATATATCTCCCAAGGTAATATGTAACAATCATCTGTTACATATGTACAAACACATGAACTACAAATTCCAGAGAAAAACTTGAGACGCATTTTGTTCTCTTAAAATTTGTAAAAAAATAATTCCAAAATTTGTTCGGGAAATTCTTATGGGAAATCAATATGCGAACAAAATAATTTTTCATTTTGGAAAGTCAAACGTGTGGTAGGTATCAGAGGCCGTATTGATTGTCTATTAAAATGTGACATTGGGGAAATCAATGCGACAATTTCTGAATGTGCAAATTTGAAATGTCCTCAATATATTCTAATATTGAAGCCTACAGCTTAGGAGATGATGATGATGATGATACTATAAGTCAGACTCCTATAAAAATTAGTTAGAAAATAAAATAAGAAAATAATTGTCAAAAATTGTAATTCATTTGAAAATGGAAAATTTAAGAAGCAAAATATTTAGAATTAATTTATTGAAAATGCTGGATTATTGTGACAGAAAAACTAATAGATTTCCACCATTATAAATGGGAAGATGCCATTTAACACAATTATAAAAGATGCATTATTACAAACCCGACGGAGACCAAGGCAATAATAGAAGATGTTTTCAAAGAAAAAAAGTATTAGCTATAATTGTGGATTATTTTTAAAGACCACTACCTCAGCTATTACTCTGGGTTTATGAAAACCCGTCAGAGCTAAGTCGTGAAATCATAAAGAAATAATATCTGATTTATTAAGAGATCCACAGAGTGAAATTTGTGGATTATTGCTGGACCAGCTCCTGGACGTTTTCAAAGGCCGTGAAGATTTTTATGACAAATAAAAAAAAAAAACAAAAATTAAAAATTAACAATTAAAAATTAATATTGATCAAGTAAAAAGGCTGTAAGTCCGGCCGGGCCGAACTTTGAATATCTTCCACCATTTAGAACGAATTTGGCAATTTTCCAAATTTGGCAAAAAAAAAAAAAAATAAATAAAATCCGTTCAAAATTCTATATTAGGTTCTATATGACGACGTGGATCTGCATAAGCAATTTTCTGTCTTAGGCTGCAGTATCCATTACGAACTTCAAATAGCAAATGTGAAACAATTCCGGGGAATAATGTGGCTAAAATCATCAAAATACCAAATATGGGAGGTGCCGGTATATGGGAGGCTGTACGAAGGCGTGAACTTGAACGGACAACTTTTTGTCATAGGCTGAAGTATCCATTTCGAACTTCAAATACAAAATTTGAAACATTTCCAGTGAATAATGTCGCTTAAATCATGAAAATACCGAAAATAGGGATGTACCTTTATATGGGGGCTATAACAAAGTCCTGCAGACATAATATACATTTCAGTAAAATTTTAGTAACCTACTTCATTTCGTTGGGAAGCTACAGTGATTTCCACTGACGGACAGACGGATAGAAGGACGTATGCGCTAAATCGTCATAGAATTTTATGCTGATCAATCATATGTTACAAACGGAATAACAAACTTAATATACCCTCCATACTGAGATCAATTTTTCAGCTGCTATAAAATACTGCATGTGTAAAATTCAGGGATTTCGTGTGCTGTAGCATATGATATTGTGTAAAATATCGAATGGGTACAGCAGGTACTCAAGATCACATGAATGAAGGGAAACAAATACTCATGAATCGTCAAATTTAAAGAACAAAAATCGTGGATTTCAATGGACCACCGACTTCAATTTTCCAAGCCATACCCCGGTGAATTTTCCTAAAGCAACAGGAGAGGGCGATCTTTGACATATGTATATAATACCCCTAAATATAAATTTTCAGAACATCCTTGAAAAAAAAATAGAAATAAAACATTCACAAGTAATTTTACAAAACAAGTAAGCAAAGGCTATAGTCGCGCGGGGCCGAACATATGAGTAACACTACAATACGGTAGGAGTCCCCTTATGTCCAAATCCATTGTGGAGGATTTCGCTTGTGAAATTACAGGGTGAGATGAAAAAACTGCAACCAACTTCAGACTGTTTTCATTTCTAAGCCACTCGTCCGACAGCTGTTAAAATGATTTCAGTGGCAGCTCATTATATTGTTTACAAGTGTTCAAAAGCATTTTGGTGAGAATTTCGTTATGATATTCAAGCGTGATATTGTTATTTCTTTACATTTGGCTGGAAAACCACAAGTGGCTATTGCTAGAGCACTCCAGCATTTAAATGCGAGTAAATCTTTTTTGTCTCGTACCATCGCTCGTTACCGTGATACTGGTAGCCCGATGTCAAGGAAGTGGACGGAAGAAACCAGCAACATCAGCAGAAATGGTTCGAAAAGTAAAGAAGCAACTTGATCGAAACCCGCGTCGCAGTACCCGAACAATGGTTCGTGATCTGAACATATCGCAATATTCCATTCGGCAAATATTAAAAAATGAGCTAGGAGTAAAGCCATTGAAATTCCAAAAAGTGCAAGAACTTACACCGCAACATTAAGAAAGTAAACTAAAAACAGCTATAGAGTTGCTTCGCTTGGCTGAAAGTGGTGAACTGCCGAATATGGTTTTCTCCGATGAGAAAACATTCGTTGTCCAGCAGTTTGTAAACAAACAAAATGATCGTGTTTACTTGTCACAGAGGTCAGTTGAAAATGTGCACCTTCGGTTGGCCACCAGAACTCAAGCGCCGGCCATGGCTGATGTGGGCCGCCATAACAGCCGATGGTCGCTCTCCGCTCGCAATAATCGACCGTAGGTGGCATCAAAATAAATGCAGAATATTATCGCGTAAATATTCTGGAGGGAGTATTAAAGCCTTGGGCACGCAAACATTTTGGCCGCAGACCTTGAAAATTCCAACAGGAACAGCGCGCAATTGCCACCAAAAACTCCGGATACCAACCCGTTGGACTATTATGACTGGAGTATTTTGGAAAGCAAGGTTGGAATGAACGAATATAGCGTATGACGGTTTCATAGGCCATTTGAAGGCCATAACTCGTGCCGAAGGTGACCAATTCTAAAATTTGATGTTATTGACTTTGTAGCAGTTTTTTATATCACCCTGTAAAGATGATATAAATCGCCTGTGAAAACAAGCACTAAAATACTCGGGAAACTTCTTAAAAAGTTCACGAGTAAAATTGGAAAAAATGTGTGAAAATTGGGTGATGAGAATGTGGTAAAAAAACTTCTGAAACTGGTTAAGTCTTGGAAAAATTCTCAAAACTGAAGAAAAACATTGTTTGATATTTTTTTCTTTTTGTTATGTTTATACCCTACAACACTATGTGTTGGGGGTATTATAAGTTTGATTGGGCCAGAATTTATGTAACACCTCGAAATATTGGTTTCCCATATAGAAAAGTATATATGGATCTTCCTATCTCGCCGAGCTGAGCCGATCTAGCTATATATGTCCGTCTGTCCATGTTAATTTGTAATCACTCTACAGATCGCAATTATGGCCCGATCTTCACGAAATTTAGAATGTAGGTGGAGTTAAGGTCAGAACAGAACCCTATATCTTTTGGAGATGATCGCATAATATTTAGGGGTTGAAATGGACCAAAAACTGAAAAAATCCTGATTTTGCAGTTGCTCTACAGGTCGCAATTATAGACATGTAGCTAGAGTTTAGGGCGGGAAAAAAGCCTACCAATTGAAGAAGATATGCTTGAAAGATCTCTTATATTTCGAGAACGGCTGAACTGATTTCGGCAGTTCTCATTAATTCAAAATGGCCTCTTGGCAGAAAATAAAAAACGTCAAAAAAATTGCATAAAAATATCTCTCTAAAGATGAAAATATTGATTTTGTAACATTTTTCATATTTTTTCAATTTTGTCATATTTTTGGCATATTTTCATTTTGAATTAAACATTTTGTAATATTTCTACAGCTAACAAAACTAAGTAGTTTGGATATCAGGATATCATATACAGGGTCAGAATAGAAGCCTACTCTTTTTGGAGATAATCGCCATATATTTAGGGGTTGAAATGGACAAACAAACTGCAAAATTGTCAGCAAGTCGTAATTATCGCCCGATCCTCACGCGCATTTGAATGGAGGTTAACGGACATTGCAAAAGCCAAATAGTTTTGGATGGCCATCCAAAAATATTCAATGTGTGAAATAGTTTGCCAACTTTTGTAGACAAAATACGAAAACATCCATTCCAGTGTCTTTTTGGAGAATTCACAAATACAGGAAAGACGCACTTCTGACTATTTCGTTAACGCTGATTTCGTTGAAGAATATAGTCAAACGTCTGTATCTCATATAGATGCGTTTTAGTCAAAAACCAATACTAAATGTTAATTTTTTGCCACTTCTGAGAGATTATAGGTCTTTGGGAAATATTGGTTCCAGATCTAGGAAGACCATTTACGTGCAACATCTATCTATAAATTGGAAATGAGCAAATTAGTTCCAGTTTCTATTTTTCGAAAATTAGAGAACGAAACCTGATGGTTTTCTTTTATTATTTGTCACAATATCTTGTGGAATTCTTTCGAGTATCTGGCCTATATAAACAGTATCGTTCATTATAGTGTTGTAGGGTATTCAACGGTCGGCCCCTCTCGACTGTAGCCTTTGCTTACTTGTTTTATTTTATTTTATTTATTTTTATTTTTTAAAATACTGCATCATCATGGCAGAAGAAATAATTGTCTGTCTTTTCAAAGTGTTGGAACTTATTATACATCACAGATGTAATAATGTCAAATAGCTACAAGCTTCCAATTTTCATTTGAAATCTCCCAAAAACGCTTACAGAATGGCACAATTAAAAATTGGAAGTTGTTCTTTAAAATAGTTATAAAAAATCCACGATTACAAACATGACGATAATTTTTAAAAATCCTTAAAAGAAAGACCAACGGATAATGAACAACTTGTAAATATATGTTTTATAGAAAATCATATGTATTATAGAAAATATATGTATTAAAGAATCGGAGATATAAAAGGTAAAGCTAAGATTATTTAAACGTTCTCTGGACCATCACCAATGGAATATTTGAAAATCTTTTGAAAGACACCCAGAACTATAGATTTATCGATAACTTTTCAAGGGACCATAGCAACTATGTCCCAATATTTAAAGTTTCTAAAAGTATGATCGAATCTATATTCAAACGAGACTACCAAAACAGCGATTCTTCGATTGTTCATTCGTTCAAATTTTATGGTGAATCCTGTAATATCCTTTCACTATAAATTTCGACAATTCTTTAAAAATTCACAATTCTAAATCGAAAGAACAAAAAAATCCAACGATATTACATCAGGAAATTTAACAAAATCGTTTATTATCAAATCGTACAAAATCGTTCATGATTACAGGGTTATATAAAAAAACTGCAACAAAGTCAAATGCCAAAATATTTATATTTTTTAAAATTTTTTTAATGAAAGCAAAAAATATCGGAAATAGCATCAAATTTTAGAATAAGTTTAGATTTATTCGAAATGGTCACCTCAGACACGAATTATGGCCTTCAAACGGCCAATGAAACCGTCACAAGCAGCCCGAATGTTGCTCTGCGGTATTTTGGCCCATTCCCGGCGAAGCGCTTGCTTGAGGCGATCGACACTTTGGCATTTTTTAGTACCAACCTTGCGTTCCAAAATAGTCCAACGGATTGGTATACGGAGATTTTGGTGATCATTGTGCGCTGGAAAGGAAGCGAGGAACCTCCTGTAGGAATGTCCAAGGTCTGCGGCCAAAATGTTGGCGTGCCCAAGGCTTTAATTCAACCTCCAGAATATTTTCGCGACAATATTCGGCATTTATGCTGATGCCACGTCGATTAATACGAGAACGGCCATCGGCTGTTATGGCGGCCCACACCATCTCCATGGCCAGCGCTTGAGTTCTGGTGGCCAACTAAAGGTGCACATTTTCAGCTGACCTTTTTGTAAAGTAAAGACGATAAATTTGTTTGTTTACAAACTGCTGGACAACGAATGTTCGGAGAAAACCAAATTCGTCGTCGGGAGGTACCAGAAGTAGTGGGCCGAAATTTCTCATCGTCACAGCAGATATTATGCTAGTGAAAATAACGGGATGTGTGAAATATGAAGTGAACCGGATGTTTATTTCGGATTTTATAATCGTTGGTTACTCAAAACTATGACCCTTTGTGGGGAGGTATCAGAAGAAATAGTCCGATCTCTATCTTTTTTATAACAGATCTTGTGTTGATAGAAATATTGAGATGTGCCAAATCTGATGTGCGGAATCAGATGTTAATTCCACATCTTCTGAGCTATTCAAAATTCAATGTGGACCGATATATTCCCTTTTCACACTAGACCTTGGGTTAATAAATGTATTGTGATCTGTGTAATTTGTAGACAATCAGACTCTTTCGTAACATTTTGTAAGATTTGTTATTTATTAAAATATTGACCCTTTGTGGGGGAGGTATTTTTTGGAGTGGACCCATACTGTCCTTTTTCGCACCTGACCTAGGACTGATGCAGATATTAGGATTCGCATTAGGAAAGCAAAATCGGATTATCCTTTCTCTCTGTGTGCAGTAAAATATTTTCTTTCAGAATGTTGACCCTTTATGGGGGAGGTACCAAAAGATGTGGACCGATATTGTCCATCTCCGAACATGATCTACGTTTGATAATAATATTACGATGTACCAAGTTTGGACCAAATCGGATGCCCCCTTCGAGAGTTATCGTGCGCATCATTTAGCCAGACAGACAGAAGGACGGACGGCCACCGCTAGATCGACTCCAAATGTCCTGAAATAGATTTGGTCCAAAGAGACCTGTTATTTGGATTAGGCATGTTTTAGCCGTATCAAAAAATATATACCCTCTCTAGCCATATGGCTGAGGGTATAAAAAAGAAGTTAAGGTTGACAACATTGGTAGGGTTTATCGACTACTTTGGTTTCGTCGCTAATTTACTGAAAAATGTCGTTAATTACCGAAATTGTAAGCATTTTATTTTTTCCTTTTTTGTCGATAACTCAAAAAATGAGTTAGAGAATTCGTATAGCGTACCATGTAAGCTTTGTAGATATTTCTAATAAAATGTTAACTTTGGTACAATTTTCAAATTTTAAAAATGTATAAAAATTGTATCTATTAAATTTTATAACCCTTATATTGTTTCACATTCCCCTTACGTTTTTTAATTCAACTTTGCAATCGTTTAATTTGACATTAAAACTTACCGGACTATTTTTGACGAGAGCATCATTGGGCACCACAACCAGATACCAGACTAACCACAGAGAGTTATTGGCAGCAAACGATGAAAACAGATTCATGTGCAGGGTAATGCGGGCACATTTTAAAGATCTGCAAATAACAAAAAAAAAAATACATTTATAAACTTTTACAATAACTTCTCACAAAAGGCGACCATTTTTTCCACAATATAATAATGCCATTAAACAAACTTAATTTAAATAAAAGCATGAAGACAAAAAGCCACAACCTCATTTCGATGCATACATATTTCATGCAATCGCCGTGGTCAAAGGTCAATGTGGGCGTATGATTGTCATGTTTTGTGCCACTTTATAAATCATACGTTACGGTGGTGTTGGTCGACAACAAAGGGTTGTCGTTGCTGTTGTTGTTGGTAAACGTGGTTGTGTAAATCGCACTTTGTGTGGCTACTGGTTGGTTTCCGCTTCCCTCGCAAATGAGAAAAGTTCAATATGGTGGGGGAGGAATTTGAATTAATTACCGGACAGATAAAAGAAAAGCAGGAAAGCAAAGTTAATATATTGACCGGGAACGGGGCGAACACAGAAGTTGCCAGGTAATACAAATAGCCTCATTTGTAGCTGAACAGAAGAGTTCTGTAGGTACTTGTTGGGCTGGATGGGGAATAGTTAATTTTAAAAAGGGAAAGTTAAGAAAGGAGTAACATAAGACTCTTATTTAAAGGCCAGCAGAGAAAAATTAGAGAATGGATTTGAGAACAAATATCAAGGACAATCAGTTATCAAAGAGGTTTTTGGATATAAAGTTGTAAGGGGGAGAAGGATTTTTTACAAAATCTGAACAGAATAGAGAAGTGAAATAACTGACTGACCGAGAATCAACGCACGGACGAAACGGCTGAAGCTAGAATCTTAAACTTTAGCATGAGGGACAGTTTTGGTAGAAAGACGTGTGATAAGGCTGGATTTTTGGAAATCATTACCTTAAGGTAATGAAAAGTACTTAAATGTTTTTAAACTTCTAAATTGGTACCAAATGGTACGGATAGAGCTAAAAACTTGAAATTTTGTATGAGAATCAAAATGGAAAATTATGTTAGATCTATGTAGATAGTTTTGAATATGAGTACTAAGTTTGCGAACTGTACTAAATGGTACTAAATTTGGATAAGTTTGGTTTAGGGTCAACGGATATAGGTGCAATTTTGAAATTTTCTAGTTCGGAAATATGTACTTCAAGTGCACGAAGTGTACTAAATAGTACTTTTTTGGAACACTTTGGTATTGGGTGAACAGATAATGATTGAAATCTGATCTTTTTTAAGTACTCTGTTCCTGTGTAGCATTGACATATGGAGATTGATCCGGAAATGGGTACTATAATTGTACAAAACTTACTGAATGGTCCAACATTTTGTAGTAGGTAAATGGATATTGACAAAATTCTGATATTTGAAATCAGATGGTAGCTGATGTAGTGATTTGGTGGCGATTTGAAAATACATCCTATTTTTGTATGAAAAGTACTAAATGGCACTTAGATTGGTATTGGGTAAGGGGATTAGGCTGAAATAATCGAATTTGATATTGATATTCAAAAATTTTAGCATATGTGGGGGAGGTACCAACAGGAGCTCGCCAATATATATATCCCATCTTAACAAAAGATTTTGTGTTAGTAGGCATAATGGGATCTGTGAATTATGAAGAGAACCGGATTCCTTCTTTGGATTTTATAACCGTTTTGGTTATTCAAAACTTTTGCTCTTTGTGGGGGAGGTATCAGAAGGAATGGTCCGAGCTCCACAATTGGTATCACAGAGATGTATCAAGTCTGAATGGAATCGCATGTTAATTTCGCGTTATATGAGCTTCATGGATATTCAAAAAGTTGACCCTTTCGGAGGGAAGATACAAGAATGACCTTGACACAGACCTTGAGTAAATAAAAATATTGTGATGTGTGAAATTTAAAGACAATCGGACTCTTATATCACATTTTATAAGAGTTATAATAATTCAAAATTTTGACCCTTTGTGGGGGAGGTACTTGATGGAGTGAACCTATATTGTCCATTTTTCGCACCTGATCTAGCACTGACGCAAACATTAGGATCTGCAAAGTTGGAGCGAGTTCGGATTATCCGTTTTTTGTGCAGTAAATTATTTTCTTTGGAAATGTCGACATTTTGTGGGGGAGGTATGAGACGGAGTACCAACTCTGAACTTGATCTAAAACACAAAATTAACATCCGATTCCATTCAGACTTGGTACATCTCAATATTTCTATCAACACAAGATCTGTTTTGAAGACGGTAGAGATCGAACCATTCCTTTTGGTACCTCCACCATAAAGGGTCAAAGTTTTGAATAACCAAAACGATTATAAAATCGGATATAAGCATCCGGGTCTCTTCATATTTAACATATTCCATTATTTCTACTAATAACAGATCTGCTGTGAATATGGGATATATCGGCGAACTCTTTCTGGTACCTCTCCTACAAAGGGTCAAAATTCTGAATATCCCTGAAGCTGATGAAACGAGAAATTTATAAACGATTATAATCAAACTTGGTATATCATAATATTTCCATCAACACAAGATGTGTTATAAATATGGTAGAGATTGAACCATTTCTTCTGGTACCTGCTTCACATAGGTTTCATGATTTTGAAAAATAAAATTCGAAATCTCTTCAGACATACAAACATTTTTGCTAACAAAAAATCTGTTGTGATGATGATATCTGCAAACTCCTTGTGATATCTCACCCACAAATCGTCATACTTCAAGCGATTCTAAACAACTAAACATTTCTCTTAATCAGAAACCTATGATGAATATGGAATTTATGATTTCGCATAAAATTGGATATAAATGTTCGATTTTCTTGTAATTTTTTCCATACCAATATTTTTATCTGTATTAGTTGAAGCATGAAAATGGAATACTTAGTTCGGTTATATCTGGTACCTCACGCACATGATAACATTTTCTAGAAATTATCACATATCTAACGTAAAGTTAAGGAAGTTACTAATATAGTCCAAACCTGGCACGTCGCCATATTTATATTGTATTTATTTAGGTCCGATACAAAATGGGTTCCTTCAGAACCCATGACAGATGTCAAAATATATTTAAATAATTACAGAACCGACTGATACTTTTTAACTTGTCTTTTTTTCTATTAAAGCATACAAAGGATATAATATAATATGTGTCATTTCCTATTTTTTGCCAAACATCAAATTTTCATCTTCTAACATTTTTCTCACCCCATTCCCACTTAATCTTAAAAAAAGATAAATTTATATGATTCACATTTCTCTTTCCTCCTTAACAGATTTCTCTAAATAAATAAAATTTAGATGTTTGTCACCAAGTCGGCCTAAGTGTTTCCAAATTGTGTATTACGTACTTATATTTTTTGTTGTTGTTTTTACACATCTACACATATATATGTGTACATATCTATATAGTTAAGTACATCTCTAAATAAATACATGTAACACTCACATATGTGAGTGTCTCCCTCTCTCTCTCTCTCTCTGTTCACACCAGTTATGATGCTGATGATGTTGACATGCCGTGAAATTCCCCAGATAAGGGCATTGTTTGAAGTAACGTTGTTTGTGTTTGTTTGTCTTGTTTTCTTTTCGTTTCTATTGCCTTTGTTCTTTGTTTGTGTCTCGTGTTTTTGATGGTTTGCTTTTAATATGCTTAAGTACTGACTTTGAAAGTGCCACCAGCAGGGAATATGGAGGGGGTGTAGGTGTGAGATTTGTCAGTATTTTGTGGCATATTTCAAACTTTTTTCACTGTGTTCATAAAAATGTAGAGTATGTTAAGCCTCAAGAACAAAAAGTAAAGTTCAAACAGTTATGAACTTTAAGAACAGAGAGGGAGAATGAGAGGGATGGGGAGGGGAAGAGAGAGTGACTTGTAGCATTATTGATGGCGCATAATTAAACAGAGTTACAATGTCTAGCGAAAAAAAGCAAAAGTCAATGGCCACATTTTCGTGGTGCTCAAAGAGATTTTTAATGGGTTCAGTTAATTAAAAGATATTAATTGTTGTGTTGCCATATTTGTGATAATTAAACAGGATTTTAAAAAGGCCTGAAATGCTGATAAGATTGATTGATTTTAAAAACAAGTAAAAAAGTATCGGTCGGTTTTGCCGATAGATGTATACCCTCAGCCCTCTTCACCCTCTATGGAGTGGGTTTTGAAAGAATGGGTCAATATTGTTCATTTCGTATCGGACCTAAATAAATATAAATATGATATGATAAATAAATATGATATGAATATTATTATAGCAGATGGATAAATCAATTGTAAAGAATCGCTGAGTTGTTTCGCAATTTATGACAGATGTAAATATTGACAATTGTGTCCCTTTGTGGGTGAGGTACCAGCAGGTGTTCGCAGATATATAGCATCTTCACAACAGATCTGGTGTTAGGAAAAATGCTTTTATGTGTGAAATTTGAAGAGAGTTGGATCCTTATTTCGCTTTCTTTGAACGTAATGTTTTTCAAAATTAGATTATTGCTTCCCTTTCTGTGCAGAAAATATATATTTGTGGGGGAGGTACCAGAAGAAGTGGACCGATATACTCCATCTTTACAACAGACCTTGGGCTAATAAAATGATTAGGATGTGTGCAAAAATATGTATTTTTTTGAAAATTTCGACCATTTGTGGGGGAGGTACCATAAGGAGTGGACGGATATATTCCATCTTAACACCAGAGCTTGGATTAAAATAAATATTGGGATGGCCGACATTTGAAGACAATCGGACTCTTACATCACATTTTATGAGAGTTGTAACTCTTCAAAATTTTGACCATTTGTGGGGGAGGTACTTGAAGGAGTGAACCGATATTGTCCATTTTTACACCTAACGTAGAACTGATGCAAATATTAGGATTTGCAAAGTTGGAGCAAAATCGGATTATCCTTTCTCTTTCTGTGCAAAAAATATATTTTTTGCAAATTTCGGCCTTTTGTGGGGGAGGTACCAGAAGGAGTGGACCGATATGGCTCATCTTAACACCAGACCTTGGGTTAACATAAATATTGGGATGTGTGAAATTTGAAGACAATCGGA